GAACTGCAGCCCCCTGTCTATCATGGTCGTGCACTCCTCTGAGGGGAGCGTGATGTCCACTGGGTTCTCCAAAAGCTCCACCTCATTCCCAAGCCAGACCCAGTCATGGGAGTGGGGTATGTTGCCCTGCTCGCTCACCACAAGCCTTTTGTGTCTGTACTTCCAGGCAAACGCCACGCAGTTGATAAGGAAGACCAGGATGGACAGGCAGAAGATGCAGAGCAGGGCGTACATGCCGATCTCCAAGTCTGTCAAGCCCCTGGAGGCCACTGTAAGGTCCTAGGGTTACTGGATTCTGGAAACTTCCCCTGGGTGGGGAAGCTGGTGAAGGCATCTGCACCACCACTCTTGAGTAGCTTCTTATCCTTCCCCTCCCCAGGCAGCAGCAGGGTTGTGCTCCTGTTGGTCCTGTCCTCTGGGCCAGCAGGGCCCCCACACTGGAGCCACTCCTGGGCTACTCGCTCCTGGCTCCATTCCCACTCTATGGAGTTGCTCAGGTGATCTTTGTATTCCCAGTTCACACCCTCAATGTCATTGCTGCCTCCTCGGTGTTCCTCCTTCATGCCTGGTGCAAACCTGACCTTGACGCTTCCTTTACCCACAGCAAGAACACTCTTCCTCTTGGTCTTCTGGCAAGGCTCACTGATCATCATCTCCAACTTTATCAGGGGCCCTTGTCCTTCGCCCTCTGCAACCACAACCGGCCACTGGGACTGCAAGTTTGGCTGGACAGACACCACCATTTCATCCAATGATGAGACAGTTATGGAAAAATCTTTGGAATCATAAATGTCTAAAGGTGTCACGGAGCCATCACTGAACAAAATCCAAGAACTGACTATGGCTTCCTGAGGGAAACAAAATCAAAGCATGATCAGCTCCCTTCAAATTTACAACATAAGCAAGATTTCCTATATAAACACTTTTAAGTATATGTAGAAAAAAATCTTCCATTTTATAATCTTTACCAGTTTTTGTCATGCCTTGAACTGGCATCAATAATCTGCAGGAGCTCCACTAGTATGAGAAATAAATAATAAGCTTTCATGAATGCACTAAAGTGTAAATTAATTTACTGCATGCCATATCAAAGAATTTGACTTTGACCTTTCTAAAAACACTTTGAAAGATCAGGCAATTTATCTGAATCAATTTTAGGTGCAACTAATCAGGCTACTGCTAAAGATAATATCACTTTGAACCTTTTTACTTAGGAAGCCAATGCTGATGAAGCAAAACGCACTCTGGTAAATTTCTTGGTAAACGATGGATTATGAAGTTGGACTGCTTGAACGGCCTAGTGCCTCGGTTATCTTTATAAATGATTTGCAACAGCCAGGCACAGTTATGCACACCTGTAATACTAGCCAACCAGGAGGTTGAGGCAGGAAGATCATGAGTTCAGGGCCAGTATCAGCAACTTAGCAAGATGCAGTATCAAAAATTACCCATTTGGTTTGGCCAAGGTAAAAAAACATGGCCCTCAGCTCACAGTCCAACAGCAGACTGTGCTATCACAGGTTATCCTGCTGGAGAACAAATGGCGAAGGAAATGAGCCTCCGTCTCTACACACTTTCCTAGACCCAATGTGCTGGGGGAGATGCGAGAGCAGTTCCAAGAAAACAAGGGGCTGCGATGGGCTGCAAGACCCTGCTGACCCTCTGTGTAGGACAAAACGACCTGGAGAGGAGCTGACCATTGACAAGGGCACAGGCCTCCAGGCTCTCACCTACTGTGGGGCCTGGAAGACATCCTGGGCAGCCACTATGGAGATGATGACCCTTCGGTCCACCCTGTGAGGCTGCAGGGAGAGGGACAAGCCAGCCACCAGCTGAACGCCCAGCTCCACAATGGTGACGCGGTCATCCAGGACAATCACTGTCTTCTCAGCCAGGATGGAGTCAGAGAGAGGTGAGAGGACCTGGGGAATAAGTGGGAAAGTGCGGTCTCTGCCCACGTGACATTTTCAAGTCCTGGACCTGGCGGGGCCTGGGGAGACTCTGCAGTGCTCTACAGAGTGCACACAGGATGACTGCTTACGTAGGTATCCTGCCATTGTCCAATTAAACTTAGCACTTGTAGGAGTTTTATAAAGGTCACCTTAATCTACTTTCTTTTTTGGGATTCATGTCATGATAACAACAGTGTATTTTCTGAGATAAGCTTGTTTTACGTTAGAGGCAATAACTCAAATTGCTTGCCTTGGTACTCAGCACTCAAAGAGTAGCGCTTTCCCAATAGC